AATCTAGAAATATTTTTCCAAAGTTGGGTTTCGAGACCTGGAAAAATCCATGACCATGGGGTCGTTGAAAAACTCGAAAATTCGTCGATCTCAAAAAATTCCTTAATATGTTTATGCGATTGTGTCAAGCCCGTAGGTATTCCACAACAACTGATTTGAGGTTTCGCCATAGGTTTTCAATATTAAAAATTTCGAAATTTCTCCATACAAAATTTCATTCCTCTCTAACTTTTCAACCAGACCCTCAAAAATTCTTAAATTTTGTAGGTACATATCTGCTGCCGACATTAACTTACTTAATAAGAACTAGATGCCAGCCACCACAGGAAACTGAGAAAAATGCAATCGAAGTTTTGCCGGAACGCACAGTTTTCGGGTGTCATTTGTATTGATACGTCGCCAAAAATCGAAAAAATCCAGTTGTGTTAAATCTTCATACCCAGCATATTTAAGCATTCTGGCATGGTAACGTACCTTCGATTCTCTACCGTTCGCGAGTTATTTCGACCCAAACTGTGGTCTTTTTTTTTGCACACCCTGTCAATCTTCTGCCCGAAATGTGGGAGGGGCCAAAACAAAAAAGGGGCTTTATCCTGCTCAACGCCAAGATAAAAGACGACGGGAAGAAGTAAGGGGCAAGAATCACGAAGTCGTTGCTTTTAGCTACATGTAGTATTCTGGATTCCAGTAGCCTTTTTAGGGAACGCGAAGAGGGCCAAGAATAGGGGCTCATTTTGTCCGGATACGTCACCACGCCCCCTTCAAAAAGGAGAAGAAGAAGAAGAAGTCAATCACGCTGCGGTTCAGCGCTGATGGCCGGCTTTTTGGCGGCGGTGGCGGGGGAGGGGGAAATGTGGCCGTTCGTCTACTGGACCGTGGAGATCGAGGGCAACTACATCTTTGTCTAAAAACATTACTTGAAGCCGCGCCATCAGCACTAGGATCCCGATCAGGAAAAAGACGGCGGCCAGCAGGATAAGCCGGCGCATCTCATCGTACGAGCGGTCGATTCGTAGCCGTAGTTCTCTGGAAAAGTGAGGGTTAGGTAAAATTGATAAAATAAAGCGGTTTTTTGCAATAGAAGGGCCCTAATTTGTTCCTAAAGGTCCATTTACTAAGCCTAGAAATGTAATACAACGGTTTTTAAATAAAAATGGCTATATTCCAGCTGCGAAAAAAAAGTAGAAACATGTGGAATCGTTAGAGATCGAGATTTTGTACTTCCTAATAACGAAATTTGGAAGTTGGTAGTCCTAGGAAAAGTAAGAAATTGTCTAGAAATACCCTATTTCTTTTAGAAAAAACTGTTTTAAAGCCAAACAGTGGACTAAACTATTTTTAGCTATTTCTAAACGGAAAAACTTTTCAAAATTTCAGAAAAAAAAATGCAGGAATATCGATTTTGTTCGACCAAAACTGGCCGATTTCTCCATTTCCACGTCAAAACGTAGCCAAAATCGTTTTATTGTTTTTTCCACTTGAAATATAGTTTTTTACTACTATTTTCACGTAGTATCAGAGCGAAAATAATAAACTATAAAGAATAAAAATAACGATAAAACATACTGATAGTTCTCTTCGTGCTGATTGTAGATCGAGTGTTCTTCATCGAGGTCGCGCATCGTTCGGTCGAACCCTGCAAAAAAGTAAATATTTGGCCGGCAAGAGGATTATGGTAAAGCCAGGAAATTTTTTGGGGGTAATCGATCAACTGAATGTAATGGTTTGTGTGCGGATTTTGATCACAGAAAACGGCTGGGGATGAGGGTTGTGTTGAGTGGCGGGTATACATGTTTGTCTACGGAATCGAGCCTCAAATTGAGTGCGCTTTAGGTTCGAGATTCTTTGGTACTGTACTGTTAGCGGAGGTGGGGTTTCGGGGCAAATTTTTTTGTTTTCCTCCTTTACTTGCATCTTAATAAAGTAAATTCTATTTTTATACTGTTTTTTCGTTGTTAGTCTTGGAAAGTTCCACAAAATCTTAGACTTTTTGAAATTGTGAAAATTTGACCCATTAATTCACTCAGTAAGCGTTTCTAAATGTTTTTTGCTATTCCTAAATGTAAAAACTTCAAATTGTCATACAAATCTAAAAATCTCCATTTTTCACCAGAAATGGCCGATTTTCGATGAAAATTTTCACTTTTTAAATTTTCAAAAAAGTTTTTGTATGATTTTTTATTTAAAATACGTTTAAATTTTGTTAAAAACGCTATTAAAACACTTGCTATAGCATCGCTAGGCATTATAAACTTATAGAATAAAATTAAGTCCGCGATAAACCCCCCCCCCCCCCCCGATAATGCAAAAGAACCGCGTCCGGTGGAGAAAACGTATTCAATGACGCAAAAATACGGCACGGAAAGGGTCTAAACATTAAAATGCAGTTTACCAGATGAGCGTTAAAATGGCAAAGAAATTGCAATAGGTTTTTAAGCTCGAATTCAACCATTTAAAAACCTAAAAAAAGCAAGAGTAGTACAAAGGAAAAATAACAGTTAGGAGTTTGGCCCAATTTCCGCTGCAACAGCCCGTTTTTTCAAGCGAGAACCCCTGAAAACCGTGGCCCGGCGTGCTGGACTAGATTTGACCTCGACACTCGAGAGCACCGATGTCGCCCCAAATGGGCCGAATCACCGGGCAGAGAGCGCGCAAACGCCCCCAACGGTAGATGATCATCATGCACAACATGGACGGGGGATTATCATAAGCCGGGCCCACGCTGGCACTAGCCGGTTGTTGTCTGTCACGGCGACGGAAAAAAAGAGATCGAGAGAGGAGGAGCAGGAGAAGGAGGGGAGGAGGAGGACCACGTGGGTACCGAGTCAAGGGCAAACCATTTGGCATCCAGTGAATATTTGTTGAGAATGAGGATGAAATGGAGGAGGAGGAGCAGGAGAAAGAGGAGGATGAGCAGGAGAATGAGAAAGGGATAGGGGGATGGGATGGCAAGTGAAAACGGAGATACACAAACCACCCACAACTCTTTGATCCCTAAATTCCGGTTTAAGTATTTTGTTTGGTTGGGGGGGGCGGGGGGGGAAAAAAGGGGGGGGGGGGGGGGGGGGGGGGGGGGCCCCCCCCCCCCCCCCCCGGGGGGGGCCGCCCGGGGGGGGGGGGGGGGGGGGGGGGGGGGGGGGGGGGGGGGGTGGGGGGGGGGGGGGGGGGGGGGGCCCGGGGCCCCCCCCCTCTGTTTTCAGCTTTAAAGGGGCCGGTAAGTCAGGGCTATAGATTTGGTTCTTCTCTGTTAACGGGGGGATTTTTAGTAAGAAGCTGTTTAAGAATTTTTACTTAACACTGTTTTTTGGATATTTTTGATACGTTTTTGCCACAAAAAACCAAAATTTTTTGAAGATTTGCATCATTTTTTATCAGCTTTTAGTCCAGAAAACTGCATAAAATTATAAAAACGTTTTATATTTCGTTAAGGGCCTCACGGGACACGGGATTACTGGGAAAAATTTCGTTCGCCGCTACCCCCCCGCTAACAGACCAGTACTGACTTTTACCCATTCCTTTAGTTTGTGGCAATAAAACTGTTGTCAACAATTAGCATCCCAGCCCCAGTCAACTCCCGCACACCCAAAAAAATCGAACACGAAACCGATCCCAAATCGGAGAATCGGGGGGCCGAAACCGTCAATAGTACAGATGGGGAAAAGGGCTATTTGTGATAGTCGGCCTCCAATTTTTTGCCGTATGTTCGAGGGCGTGCCTTCCTATTTGGTGTCCCGGTCCCGGCCAAATTAGGGCTGATTTCGGTCTGCTGTGGGGGGGGGGATGGTCAAGGATTGGAGGCGTTGAAAGGGAAATTGTAGGCAGTAAAAGAGGGAATATTATGCGGAATATAACGTACTAAACAAAGGCCAAGCATAATCCCAGTACTAAAACTAAGCCTAAGCTTAAGCCAAGCCTAGGTCGAGCCTAAGCCAAGCCTTAGTCGAGCCTAAGCCAAACCTTAGCATAAGCCAGACCTAAGCCTTAACATAAGCTGTGGCTTCAACACTTCAAAATTTGGCCAAAAGATCCTAAAATTTGCCTACCGAAGGTAAAAAATTCAAACTTGGCAAGCTAGCAATGGTTGAAGGGTGCAAAAAAACGCTTGCAAGAATTGTCAACATTTTATCGGGGGTTGATTCGCGGGATCGCAGGGCTGAAAAGATGCCAAATCGGGGGGATGGGAAACCGCGACTTGTCGATGAGCGGTGGGTCAATCCATCACGCCGCGGCCTACATCCAGCGATTGTCGTCAACGGCTGCAACGGAATTTTGTGTAGTTGGAATTAGTGTTTTTGCCGGGACTGGATTGTTAGCGGGGGGTTCAGGTCTTTAAAAACGTAAAACTTAATTTCCTATCCCCCGTGGCCCTCATTAATGAAATAATACGATTTATGTAGGTTTGTATGCCATATTTTCAATATATAGCAAGTGCAAAAATTATTAGGATTTCCGATAAATTGGCGATGTTTTTCTGGGCAAAAATATACGAAAATGTACGACAAGTACAATTTTTAAAAACTTAAAACAATGATTTTAAGATTTTACGTAATCCAAGTCTACTAACACAGTCTGCTAGACCCTCCCCCCGCTAACAGATCAGCCCCGATTTTTGTAGTGAATTAAATATTAAAAATTTCTAATTTGGGACGAGATCTAACTGATATCCAAGCGCCAGTCTCAACGGAACTCAGCTCTCCAAAAACATGGCGAATCCTATCATTTTGTATTTACAAGGTATCACTATAAATTTATAACTACAAGGCTACAAAAAACCCACAGTAAGCCGGTGTTTTCTAACCTGTCCCCTAAATCCTGCCCCGTCCACCGTATCCCCAGTGGGCGACAGAGGCGGGCGGTCAAAGCACGGAGACGCAGACAGCATAAGCGAACGGAAAGCCCGAGTGACCCTCGGGGAATCGAGTAACGATACCGATATTTTGTATTTCTTTTATTTACAAATATTGCAAACCTACAAAAATAAAACATAAATTTACAGCGCAATGGAAGGGACCATCAAGCAGGAGATCAAGCAGGAGGTTGGTTATAGTTGTTTTTGGTTTGTAAAGTGAAATTTTGTTAATAACACTACTTTGTCGCGTTTTTCGAGTTGTAAAGCGGAGAAAGTAGAGAATTATAATGATAGTAATCTTTAAAATTTACACTGTTTTAGACAATCCACTTTATTAACCCGGCGTTTACGTAACCGAGCTTTTCAGTGCATCGAAAATGGAGACGCCACCTCGCCGCTGGGTAACCTGGATCCCCATCGATTGCGTGACATGGTAAGGGTTATCAATTGATTTTTAAAAGTTTAAACGGCGTTTTACCGCTGATTTTAATGAATATTTATTTTTGGCACACTTGTTGCCCGTTCCTTGATGCTTTTATTAGATTTTCCAGGATATTGAGAGCAAGCCAAAGAAAACCTTAGCAAAATAAAGATTTTATTCGGAAATAACCTTAAGGAATTTTTCAGGTAGTCGATCAGCAGCCTTTCCCGCCCCCTCAGCACCAGCCGATTCAGACGATGCCCGCGCCAGGGCAGATGGTGGGAAAGGAATTTAGAATTTATCCCATGTTTAGGGCTGGCAACCACCGGACGGTGGAAATCCACCCCCGCCGATGAGACCGCATCAGATGCAGGGAATGCCGATGGATCAACACCAACAAATGCAGCCGCAGCAGCAGACGCCGCAGGGATCCATTCCACGTCGGTTTTTCGGCTTTTAACCTTGAGAATTTTTGACGTAAGCTTTAAAAATGGCAAGAAATCACCTAAAACCTTGAATTTCAGCGCAATCACCCATGGGTAGTCCCCAGCAGATGCCGATGCAGCAACAACCCGGTGGGCCACAGTTTGAAGGCGGTCAGCCAGGGCAACCCTTCTACCCGGGCCCTCCGCACCCCCATCAACAGATGCCACCACAGAGTCCGGGTAGGGTCAACTAGCAGGGATTTTCATGGAAACCTTTCAGCGACGACGATGAACACCCCAGGAGGTCCAATGCCCTCGCCAGGATATCAGCAACAGCAACGGATGATGGGAATGCCGCCACCAGGGCAAGGAGCGGCTGGGACACCCGGTGGACCGCCGCTTCATCCACAGCAATATCCGGCTGGATATCCCATGCAAAATGGACAGTGGGCGCAGGTAAGGCTTAGCTTGTGGCTCGCCAGCTAACTTAACTTGCGCAGAATTTTTCACCGATTACGAATCTGTTTTCAAAATTTGCGGAGGAGCTTGATTTTAAAAGTTACAGCGGTTTTTCTAGACTTGGATTTTTTATCTTTATGAAATTTTTGTAAAATGCAATTCGAAATGCTAGCGTAACTTTTAGGGTAGAAAAATACACCCGCGCACCTGTTTTTTAAAATATAGGAAAAATTTTATGCCGTCTTAACCTATCTTAACAATTAACAACCGTAATTTAGGGCGCCCCGTACCCAGCTGGCGCGCAGCGGCCCCCAGGCCCTCCTCAAGGAATGCAGCAACAACCCCGAATGCCAATGCACCGCCCGATGGGCCCGTTTCCGGGTGGACCAGGTGGGTGTTGGGCAAATGGTGTTTGCTAGCCTGCCCTATCCCTTAAATAAATCATTTTTAGGCGGCTACCCTCCAGGGATGCCGCAGAATCCGGCGGCTTTTCGTGGTGGGCCGATGGTACGGCCCGGGCAATATCCACCGGTAAGTTGCGGGGATTTTAAAGGGACGGGAAAGGGTGTTGAAAAATCTGATAAAATAAATCAAAGCCTAAACGGTAGCATCTGCTGAAGCCAAAGCCGCAACCGAAGACTAAGCTTAAGTCGAAGCCAAGTCCAAGCCGAGCCTAAGCCTAAGCTAAGCCTACCTTAATTCTAAGCCTAAGTCCAGGCCTGATCCTTCTTTTAAGCTGACGAAACTACTCTACCACTCATTTTCCGTAAATTTTCGCGAAAACCCGGATTATTCCACGGCAATCCCTTCCCCCTACTGAAAGACTAATTCTGGCGTGGTGCCAATGAGTGCCTAATCCGGTGGCGCTCGTTTTGGCGGTGGACTTTGTCTGCTTCCCCCCCCCCCATCTAATCGGCTGCATTTTAGGGTGCGCATCCGGCCGGCTATGGTTACCCGGGACAGCCACCCCAAGGATATCCCCCACAGCCGATGCCCGCCTACCAGCGACCACCACAGGTGCGTGTTTTTGCAACTTTTTTTTTAGAAGAATCTCTCCCTCTCTCTCTCTCGCTCTCTCTCACTCTCACTCTGTCTCTCTCTCTCTCTCTCTCTCTCTCTCTCTCTCGCTCGCTCTCTTCTCCCTATCAATTCTCATTATTTCTCCAATTTTGTCTCGCTCTCTCTCTCTCTCTCTCTCTCTCTCTCTCTCTCTCCCTCCCTCTCTCTCTCTCCTCCCCACTCCCTCTCACTCGCTTCGCTATCACCTTCACTCTCACTCGCCTCTCACACTCTTCCTCTCTTCTTTCTCTTTCTCTCTCTCTCTCTCTCTCTCTCTCTCTCTCTCCCTCTCCTCCCCCGCACGCCGCCTCTTCTCTCTCTCTCTCTCTCTCTCTCTCTCGCCCTCTCCCTCTATCCTTACTTTTGGCATTTAAAAACATTATAAAGCTAAAGGCAAGAACCTGTCAAAGACCCAAAATCGAAAGAACATGGAACCCAAAATTTTCAGAGCCAGCCGATGCGGCCGTACATCAATTCGCCGTCGATGAACCCGGCCGGTTGGTGGAAACTTTCAAAGATCGTTTTTTTCAATTTTCCGGGTATTTTGGCCAATCGAGGCGATTTTTAGAGGCACAGTCTTAGTTGAGCTATAGGCTGAGGGCAGTGGAAACCTTCAAAAAGAGCCCAGACTTTTGCTGGGTACTACGTGGAGCTCCCCTGATCATGGTTTTCGTGTGAATACGGTGATTCACCTGGGAGCCGGAGGTCCCACTAGCATTTGTTATTCGAAGGCGAGGGAGAGAGGGGGCGCTTCAACGGATGGCTACAAAAGGGGAATTCGGCCGTCCGTCATTAGGTGGATAATGGAGTTGGCTTTGTAAAGGGAGGGTGACGAGAAATTCAGTATCTCGCTACGTCCCTTTTCTCTCTCTCTTTCTCTCTCTCTCTCTCTCTCTCTCTCTCTGTGTCTCTCTCTCTCCTCTCAACCGCTCCAAACAAGTCACCGATACACTGAGACGAATTTCCCAAAATCCCGATCAAACTGAGCGTACTGTAGCCACGAGACCCGTCCCTACCAGCTAATTTGCATCCCCTCGGGGGACCAAATCAGACGGCCATCCCGAGAAGTTGCGGGCTCAAATTTCGGATTTGCCGCGCCGTCAGTAGGATTATATCGTAGGTGAGGCTGCCGCGAGGGGAAGGTCGTGCTGGTAATTAGTGGATTGGCTGGCGAGAGAGCAAGAGAGAGAGATAGATAGATAGCGAGAGTGAGAGAGAGAGAGCACGGTCCCAAATACCCCCATGCCACAGGGGAAATGAGCAAATTAGATGTCTCGCACCAGCCGTTCGCAGGAGCCCTACGTAGTCGGTCGTGTAATTCTGCCTAAAAGGATAGGAAAGTCAAAAGCCGTTATAACTAAGCTACAGTATTCCGGGGGATACGGTAGCTAGCTGTTTGCAAAATGGTATGCGCTAGATTAACTCGTTTTAAAGATTCTGGAAAGGCATAAAAACTACCCTCTTCACCTATTCTGGCGAATGCTTAACTACAGTTGTGGTGTACTGTAGCGTACTGTCGCGGACTATATACAAGGTAGTATCGCGTACTCAACTGGCCCATTGAAAACGTTACCGTAACGTTTGTAGCGTACGGTAGCCTGGCCTTGCCGATTTTTGCGTACTGCGATGTAGTGTTACGTACTCTAGCGTACTGCAGCGTAGTAAAGCCTGCTGCGGCCACCAAAACTTCTTTATTTCGCCCCCATGCCCCTTGCAAATACGTAGTGTGTGTACAAGAGCGTACGGTAGAGTCCTGCAACGTAGCGTAGGGTACTGTAGCGTAATGTATCGTACTATGACTTACGGGCAATTAACTTTAAGAACTCCTGCGTAATGCAATATCGTCTAGCGTATTGCAATGTAGTGTGTCCTACTGTAGCATAGTGTAATGTATCGTAGCGTAACCGAAGTTTAATGATCTGCCTTCTCAGACCCTTTAAAAGCCCACAATCCAGCTGCGTTTAGCCGGCTGGTTGTGTGAGAATGTAATTTGCACGAATCCCCTGTCTCGCCCCCCTTTCCCGAGGCCTTAATTCCACCTGGGCCCTCGGTGGGCCCTCTGTGGGCCCTCTCCCCCTCCTTTGGCCCTTCCCACCACTAACACCACGACACCCTTCTCGTTCCCGCCCCCCGGTAAATGAGCATTTTGCCCTCGGGCCGGCAGCCGGCTCTTGCCCCTTTCCAACCCCCCCGCCCCCTTAATAATTATATACAACGCCCCACACCACCCGGGAGCCCCACCACAATGTCACCACACACTCCCCACCGGCCGCACCTCTAATCTTATCGACTTGGGCGGTTTTTTAGGTTTTCACTTCAGTGGTCCTTTAAAGTTTGGCTTGGGCTTAAGGTCAGCTTAGGCTTGGCTTAGGCTTAGGCTTAAGCTTAGGTTTAGCTTAGGCTTAGCTTCGTCTTAGGAAGCCTTGGACTTGGGCTTGGGGTTCGGCTTTGGCCTAGATTTGGGCTTGGACTTGGGCTTAAGCTTAGGCTTATGATTAGGCTTGGCTTGGGGGGGGGGGGGGGGGGGTTTGGGGGGGGGGGGGGCTTAGGCTTCAGGTACTTTACGCGACACCTGGCAAAAATGGTGCTTTAATCCCTTTCAAAGCTGCCTAGTTTTTTGCAGAGGAGAGGGGGGGGGGGGGGGGGGGGGGGGGGGGGGGGAGAGGGGGGGGGAGAGAAAGAGAGAGAGGAAAAGAGAGAGAGGAGAGAGAGAGAGAGAGAGAGAGAGAGAGAGAGAGAAAGAAAGAACGAAAACCACTCATCCAACGCGCGCCTCAAATGTTGTTATCATTTTCTGGATTTGACCCATTGTTTGTGTGTGTGAAGAGGCATGTGGGGAGGTGTGATCGATGCGCGACACGCCTTCGGGCCCCCGACAGACAGACAGAAGGGCCCGGCTGTTTTTCCGTTCCGAAGCGGCCCCGGAGTCGGACTCCCCAATTTGGTTCGCCTTCACTTTCTTGACAACAGACCCCACGGCCTGCAACAAATCGAAAAATTAGAAAATAGCTCCCCATTCCGCGGGGCGCCTCTGTACGTACCATTTTGTGTAAAGTTTCCCGATCGGGGCGCCGTTCTTATCAACGAGGGGATCGTCGTGGCCTTTGCCATTCATTCCAGCCACCGTTCTCGATTTTTCCATTTTCTGAAGGGTTCTCTGCTAGTTTGCCTTAGTTTTGAAAAGCCAGGCTTGTCGCTCACACTCTCTCACTCTCACTCTCTCTCTCTCTCTCTCTCTCTCTCTCTCTCTCTCTCTCTCTCTCTCTCTCGCTCTCTCGGTCTATCTTTTTAAGCTACCCTCAAATTCTCTCTGCTTGCCTAACCACTCCACCGCCCCTTGTTTTCCTCTACTCCCATTCTCACCCGCCTCGCCCAGCCGTTGTTAATTCGTAATTTGGCGCGTCGCGTATTTTCCCCAGGGCCGGAAAGGGCACTTTTGCGAATTACGGTCACCCGGCCTTGCTTTTTATCCCGCCATCCCGCTTCACCTGCCCAATTTTTAAGCTGCCTCCGGGGTACTGTAGCTCCAAAAGCGGGCAATTTTTGGATTTTTCACTTGAAAATCGTCATTTGGGCTTGTAAATTTCTGCAGTTCCCAATTTTTCAGAAATGTGCATTAAATCGCTAGGTTACTGTACTTTTTCAACCTGTTGTTGCAGCCGGAAATACACGTGGAATCCCCGGGTATTGAGGGCGGCCAGGTGAAGGGATAGCTAAGCCGTCCATTAGGGCCCGGGCATTGGAAGGGAAGGGCCCAGGTAGGGCCCAACTAGGGCCAAAATCTACCTTTTCATATGCACCCGCAGGTAGGTGCCAAGCCTAAGCCTAATCCTAAGCAAAGCCAGGCCCAATAAGCCTAAACCTGAGTCTATACCTAAGCCTAAGCTTAAGCCTAAGTCCATGCCTAAGCCTATGCATAACCGCAAGCTCATAGACTCTGAAACTATACTATTCACCCCCTAAGCTGGCACCGCTCCAGGCCTGAACAGCGTCATGATGACGGCCCCCTTCTCTGCTGGCTGTACGAAATCTTAATCCCCAGCCAGCCTCCGGAAAGCCGACACGAATTGCTTTTCGAATCACTGCTAAAATTGCAGGGCAATGGGGCAGGCTAGCATGGATTATTAGGGAATAGAAATTTTTCCACTTTTCAGGATTTCATGTTCAAATGTTAAATTTATCTCTCCCTCTCTCTCGCTCTCTCTCTTTCGCTCTCTCTCTCTCTTCTCCACTAATCCCTCCCCCTCTTCAGAATGTGGTCCCCTCTCTACATCCCCGACGACCCGTTCATCTCGGACCCATCCTCCTCCAACTCATCGGTCACCTACGAGATCGAACTCCCCGAGGAAGGCCTCCTCGAGACGATCATCTACCGGAATGGCCCCTACGGCTACTATCAGGATCGCCATCTATCCCCCTTCATTCCCACCCCGATCCCCCAACCCCACTCCAATTCCACATCCCCACTTTCCAACCCAACAGCCCAGATTCCGGGTATTTCGAGTCGAACGACTCGCACTCGTTCCCCAGCCCGGAAGGGTTCTCCGATCTGACATTCGATGCCCCGGCGTCTCTCCCCGAAATGGTCCCTGAACCCATTCCACTCGAAGATCAGCTACCAGAGCCTGTACTCCCCGCCCCGGTCGCTCCTGTAGATCCAGCGCTCAAGGCCGACTTCGTGATCATCCCCCGAACGAGAAAGCGCAGGAATTACACCCACACCCTGGCCACCGTTATCCCGCCCCGCGAGCTGAAGCGGGACGGGGTGCAGAGCCCCGGCTCGACGTCATCAAGGGGTTCAAGCTCTTCCTCTTCGGCGACCTTGTCGAGCTCGTCGGGCGGCTCTTCGGGTACGAGCCCCGCGCAGACGCCGAGCCCGCCGGAGCCGCTATGGGACCCGGAGTGCGATCTGTTGCTGCTCCCCTCGCCGGACAGGCTGACCAGCATGATACAGGGGTTGGCGGACAAGCAGTTTTGAGCTGTTGTAGCCTGTAGAACACACTATTCTTCTGATAATGCGCTGATGCGCGGCACTGTTCCTTAAATGGGTCGTATTACAGTTATTTTTCTGTTTATTTTGTAGTCTGTAGCCTACCATACCCGTCAAAACAATGCCTTAATCCTATATTCCATATCTACAAGATTCTATATCATCTACCCTGCGATTCGAGCGATTACGGTAATACCCCTGATATTACGGTACTTTTCCCGACTGAGATTCTGAATTTTCTGCAACATATCGATTCCGAGAAACGCTGACGTCACTTTACAAAAAATTCAGCTAACCGCCAAATTACACTGTACGCAGCAGCTGCCTTCTATTTATTCGAATTTTGCTATTTTTCTTGGGATTTTGAGACATGATTTTGGTAGGTCGGTAAATAGCAAATTACCCAAAGATTTGATTGAGATTGAACCTAGAAAGGTTGGGAATTGGGAAAATTTCGAAAATTCAAAAAATAGGTTTTCGATGCCTCCTGACATTTTAAATTTATCCATTACGCTATGGAATCCGCATTTAAATATTTTGTCGCCTTTAAAGATTATTTGCCCGCCAAAAAAATTGATTTAAGTTAATTGAAATTGTTAAAATCCGCTAGAAAATCGATTGGCCCAAACACCCCGAAAATTAGACGGTTACGCGATCAAATTCGTATTCATATATATTTTTTACAGCCTTCCCTAATGTGCCCGCGCCACAGACGCCTGCGCCGCATCCGTATACGCCGACAGGTTGGTATCTTAAAATTTGCAAATTGCCAGTCGGCAAGCTAGCATAGATTCTATGAGGAATCGGGCGTGGGCCCGGGCAAGCTAGCAGAGATTATTTGCGGAAGGTGGAACTAGCCGTGATTGTTGTGGAAATTACCAGCTTGGGCAAGCTAGCAGGGATCCTTTCGGAAACGGATGGCCCCGGCGGGCTAGCAGTGGTTATTTGCGGAAACGGGCCGTCCGGGCAGGCTAGCAGCAATTCTTTGCGGAATCGTTGCTCCGGCCAACAGTGTGAGGATACTGACTAAAATGAAAATCCAGATAAATTTTCGGTGACATCCTCCGTTACAGTACCCCCTTCCGTGACGCTCCTCTAGACGATCGGAATCACGCGGACTATACAGTTCTCGATTTATCAATCCCCCCAGGACCCCCACCTCAACAGGCAATTTGTAGCCAAAAGCCCCACCTCGTTTTTGGGGTTCGAAAAAGGCGAATTTCTGCGTCCCACAGGGATCTCCCCATTAGCCCCCAGCCTTAGTTTTTGGTTTTTTATAGAGCACTATAAAGCTACCGTATCCGCTTGGTCGATCAGAATTTTAATCTAAAAGTATCGATTTCAGAGCTGCCGATGCACCCGCAGATTCGCCAGATTCCGCCTGGCTCCTATCCCTCGCAATTCGTCACCAGGGATCCGAACTTGAAGGGTAGGCGAGCAGAGGTTATTTGGGGGATTTTGCGCCTTGGCAATCAATTGAGAATATCTTAAGCAAAAGGCAGGCTAGCATGGATTATTGGGGAATTTGAGACTTGATGAAACGGCTCAAGACTTTTCGAAATCGGGCAGGCTAGCAGAGATTCTTGAGGGGAAATCGTAATTGTAAATTTGAAATTTAAATTAAAAATTTTTTTTAAGTTATTTTGGGGAAGGGGGGTTTTTTAAATTTTTTTTTGGTTTTTGGGGGGGGGGGGGGGGTTTTAAAAAATTTGAAGAGGGGGGGGGTTTTTGGGGGAAGGGAAAAAGTATTCCCTAAAACGCATATTTTTTTACAGTACCACCCGAGTTGTGCCTATCCGGCTGCTTCTTTCAATATCTGGACAGTGAGAAGCTGACGCATGATAGGGCAGATCAGGAGAACATCGCAAGGACGGTGAAGCTACTTGGTGAGTTAGTCGCCTGTTTCTGTCTCCCTGTCTCTGTCTCTCTCTCTCTCTCTCTCTCTCTCTCTCTCTCTACACACTCTTCACTCTCTTCTGTCTCTCTTCTCTCTCACTCTATCCCTCTCTCTTCTTTATCACTCACTCTCTCCTCTCTCACCCTCTCTCTCTCTCTCTCTCTCTCTCTCTCTCGTCATATCGATAACATCTAAATGTTTAGGCGGAGACATCGAATTTGGGATCAAGACATTCAACGAGCGTCAAATGCTCCTGACTCATGTCATCATCGATAGCTCACAGCCAGCACAAGCAGCGCTGAAGAATGCGATATATCAGGTAGGGAGAGAGAGCGAGGAGAGACAGAGAGAGAGAGAGAGAGACATGTCTTGAAATCATACACGCAATCTGAGACCCTACGAGCAGGGGCAAACTAGCAGTGACCCTATTAAACCCTATTCCAGTCTGCCCTCCCCCGTCGTCTTCGCGTGGTCACCAGCCAATGGCTATGTGACGTCGTCTCACTGAAGAAGCTGGACGCCCCGTGGAGAGCCGCTCATCTGCCCGCCCCCTGGGATGCGCATCGACCACATTCTGGAAAGGTGGGGCTAGCAGAGATCGCTTAGGAATTCCAGAAGTTTATTGACCATTGTGGAGGGCAGGCTAGCAGAGAAAATTCAGGAATCAAGCAAGAAAACTCGATTGATTTAGACGATCGCCTTCCACGGCTTCACGAGCGATGAGCGGACGGCGCTTCAGTTTATGGTGGACACGATCGGGGCCCGAGCCACGCCATATTTGACGCCGCTCCATTCGCTACTTATTGCAAAGGGGTAAGTGGGCGAGGTTAGGCAGGCTTGGCTTAGGCTTGGCTTAGGCTTGGCTTAGGCTTGGCTTAGGCTTGGCTTAGGCTTGGCTTAGGCTTGGCTTAGGCTTGGCTTAGGCTTGGCTTAGGCTTGGCTTGGGCTTGGCTTAGGCTTGGCTTAGGCTTGGCTTAGGCTTGGCTTAGGCTTGGCTTAGGCTTTACTTAGGCTTGGCTTGGGCTTGAGCTTCTGGAAGTTCCGTTAAATATATCTCTCTTATTCCAGCGAAACCGGCGAGAAGATCACCAAGGCGAAAGAGTGGAACGTGCCGATCGTCAACTACAACTGGCTGCTCGAGTGTTATTTCGGGAAAATGGTATGTGTCTGATGAAGTTGCTGAAGCCAGCTACAATCCCAAAAGATCCCTGCTAGACCCCCCGTTTCCAGGCGAACATCGATCTTCCTCAATACCAGCTTGGGGCGCCGGCCCAAGAAGTCAACACCACGCCGTACGCCCTCGAGCAGATCGACAACCTGCATCGGCATATGCTGCGTGGGTTATCGAAATGTAAAAATTCAAAAAATACCGACAATTCTGTCGGTATTTTGTCGAAATTCCTCAATAATACCATGTATAAAGAGCAGAAATTCTGGAAATATTGAATTCGGCATCATGAAATTTCAAATTGATTTTTTCGACATTATGAATTTCCGCAATATGAAATCTTCAATATTTTCAATTTCGGCGACATCAATTATTTTAATTTGATCAAATTATGACAATTTTTAGTGGGTTGGCACGCGTTGATGCCGCAGGAGCACGAGCGCCTCATGCTAGCTCAACAACTCCAGCAAAAGCTTCAGGCCGACAAGAATGTTTTCCCGAATTTGAAGTACAGGTGGGATTTCGGGTTCTTGGTCGTTACCGGGGGGGGGGACTCCCCAAAAGAGCTGTTGGGTTGCCGGTCCCTTTAAAAACTCCAACTCTTCTAGGGAGCTGGAGGCGCCATCCGAGGAGGACATCATCGAGGCCAACGAGAAGCGACGGAAGTCCAAGAAACCGCCGCACCGGTTTGCCCTGTGCGGCTTTGAGCAAGACGTCGCCGAGCGGATCAGCAAGGTATGAGCAAAAAGAGAAAAAAGCAGGAGCAAACCTGTGCACTAAGCCTTAACCGAAGCCTAAGCCTAATGCATAAGCGAAGCCTGAGCCAAGCCCAAGTCAAGCCTAAGCCAAACCTACGCCAAGCCCAAGCCAAGCCTAGTCCCCTTAATCGATCCATTTTTAGCAAATCCGCTTCCTGGGTGCCGAGGTGGTGAAGGACGTCGAGCAGTGCACGCATCTCGTCGTCCTCAACGGCAAGCGGAGCGTCCCGTTGCTAAAGGTAGACCAAATAAAAGATTTTTGGCAATACCAAAAATTTGGCCACAGTCCTTTTCACATCCCCCATTTCCAGGCGATAGCCATCGGGGCCTTTGTCGTGCGCCCCGAGTACATTCTGACCTCCTACGAGTCGGGCAAGTGGCAGGATGCGATCGCGTTCATGATGAAGGACGACGACTCGGAGCGGATGCACGGCTACAACCTGAAGGCGTCCATCATCAGGGCACGGAATGCGCGGGTGCTACAGGTGAGGACGGCTAAAGGGAAATCAAAATCTAAGCTAAGCTCAAGCTAAACCTAAGCGAAGCCTAAGCGAAGCCGAAGCTAAGCCGAAGCTAAGCCTAAGCCAAGCCTAAGCCAAGCCAAGCAAGCCTGTAGCCTTTTCCTATGCTCAGCCTAAGCTAACCAAGCTAAGCGAAGCCAACCCGGTTCTTTCAGGGTATTCGCATCTACATCACCCCATCCGTCGACCCGTCTCGCGCAACGTTACAACGTCTCGTCGAGCTGTCCGGCGGAGAAGTGGGAATTAAACTAAAAACTATTGAAACCTATTAATCGTTAAAATGAACAAAAAGCAAATTCTAAACTTTTATTTTTAAGGTGGACGCAGAGCGACCGACCGCCCGCCAAGTGGGCGAACACCTCGAACGTGACGGCTCGTACCTGATCATCGGCGCCGAGGCCGACGTCAAGCTGGTCGAGTACCTCGTCGAGGCCCATATTCGTAAGTTTATGCTGATTTAGATCGACAACAGAATTCATAAAGCACATACCAATTAAGGAACCTCTTTTTTCAGCCATCTACTCGCCCGAGTTCATCTTCCAAGCCATCCTGCGCCAAGAGATCGATGCCAGCTCGGCGTTGCGGATCGTCTACCCCCGCCCAGCCCCACCACAACCCCCTCAACCCGTTCAGCCGGCCCCCCAACCGCCAACCTCCGCCCAAAAGGCCCAGCAGGGTCACCAGCCACAAGTCGTTGTCGGTCGGCCCGGGGCCCAGCCCGCAGCTCGACTTACGCCCGGGCCGGCACCGGTCAGGGCCTAGACTTTGTAGTATGTAGTCTTGTTGGCACTGCGGAAGTTAATATTTCATTCTTATGATATTTTTGGTTCTGGATCGTTATCGGGGGGGGGGGGCAACAGTTTTATCATAACTAAAATTCAAACGGCTTATTTTCGTTTCGTTGCGAACTAGGCTGTCGAAATTCCACCTTGTCGAAATCTCATTTTGTCGGCATTTTTACTTCGCTGAAGTTACAATTTTCTGCTCGAAGAAATTAATTTCGATAAAAGCAAATTTAACAAAATTCCTTAATTTAGCACGAAAAAAAGGAAATCCCCCAAAAACTAGGCACAAAATGCCGACATTGTGCAGTTTCGACACTCGGAAATTTCGAAATTAGTAATTTTCGACAGTGGCGTTTCGACACTACTAAAATCCGCTTATTCAAATAAAAAACACATGCTTAGAAACATTTAAAACCCCAGAAAATTCTGGCTTAATCAATAAAAAAATCCAGCAAGACTATCAAAAATTTAGAAACTAAGACAATAAAATTTATTTTGCACCCCCCCCCCCGTTAACGACCCAGTACCATGATTTTAACGTTATTCTTTAAATTCCTCTAAAAACTCCAATAGCAATATTTTATAACATTAAAACCAATAATAATCTCATCTCGATGTGCCAAAACAACCCCCACCACGCCACTCTCAAAACAAAATTCCCTTGATCGACAGAACAAATCGGGTGTTTTCATTCTTTTTTCTCTATTCGATTGTTTTTAATTGTTTTCGCCGTTGTCTTGTATATATGTCGACGTTTAAACTTGTATAAAATTACTTACGATCATAACCACTTATAAAAAAAAATATGGACGAATCACAGAGCGGCAGCGAGGCATTACTTTGATTTTACGGGCGAATCACAGATGAGCGTACATGTAAATCAGCAATAGGGCACCCATTTTAACAGCCAGCTGCTAAGCGATTTGCGCAAAAATCGTACTTTGCCATTATCGGGGGAGATTTTCTTTTACATTTAAAAACTAGTTTAATAATAGTCTTTTTACGAAAATTTAGATAAATTTAAAATGAAAAACCGATCGAGGAAAACTAGCAATTTTCAAAAAAAATTTTGGTCGACAAATCGATATTTTTGTAGTTTTTAAAAGTTTTACGCTTGGGAATATAAAAAACTGTCGAGAATTATTAGTATCCGCAGGAGAAAAGCCCCCCCCCCCCGATAATGCGAAAGCACCACAAAAATCTGGATAAGTAAAGGCGAAGAAGGGTCGAAGAAGTGAAATTTCAAGGTGCTGCAAGGGACAAGCGAGCAAAAACTATTGGGGAACTTATGGCATGGGTGGGGAATCATAAAGTAGTTGTGTAGTGTTTATGGGGTATTTCCGTCCGGATTTTGGGTGTGGAGGGTTTGCAGATTGTGGAAGCAGCCGTGGCACACGCGCACCGGGTTCGTCGACGACAGCAATCGGACGCGGGTCGACGAGCAGGCTTGGCAAAAAATGCGGCCACAAGCCCTGATATTAGCGTTATCGTGACGTTAGCGACGTGGTTTAACGTTTCTTAAAAGGTAAAAACTTTCGAAATCCGAATTATAAATCTAATATAATCGAAAAACCGATTTTTTTTAACCCATTTGACTTTTTAAGGTAATGTAAAGTTTCTACGTTTTTAAAGTAACGTAAAGTTTTGATGGTTTTAACGTAACGTAACGTTTTTACGTTTTTAACGTCAATTTTACCACAAAAACTCCAGTTACCTACCTGCAATGATGTTTCCGCCTCGTCAAACTAAAGCGCACGTTGCACCCGGTGCACCCGGCCACCTCGGCATCCTTTTGCCAGTCACCGCCCATCGGCAGCATCTCCTCGCGCAGCTCCAGGATTTTCAGCTTGGTGCTAAACGACAGTAATAGCAAAATACCCTCTATTTACCTCGACAAATCACACCCCAGATCCATCAGGGCCGTCTCGTAGCTGTTCGCCTTCTCCTCAACGGCGCCCAGCTGCTCCTTCAGCGTCTCTATCTCCTAAATTGTTTCCTTTTGCCAGTCTATGCCAATAAACTAACCTTTGTAAGAAAAGGGAGCTCCTTGAGCTCCTGCTCCAAGCGATGCCTTTCTTGCTCGGTTTTGCGCAGCTCTTCTTTTACCGCTAAATCGGTAAAATTCAAAATATGCCCCTAGTTACCTCTCAGCTCCTTTTGCTTCTCCTCCAGATGGCTGAGGGTGTTGGTGTACTTGTCGCCGATGGCGTGCATCTCGCCGAGCAGCTTTTGGTCATGCTCCTGGGAGCTGTGCTGCGTTTCCATCGCTTGCATCATTGATTGCTTTTCCTAAGAATATATAGCTATCCAATTTACCAAATAGTACTTGCTTTTAACATTTTTACGTTGTTTATTCCAACTTATTACATTAAAAACGATACTTACTTGAGCATGCTGTGTCCTCAACAAAATAAAATCATTTTCCAGCTTTTTCTCGGCATCTTCGGCCTCTCTCTAAATTAATTAAGTCGATTTGGATATAAACCCACCAATTTTTCGTAGAGCTCCTTGTTCATTTTTGCCAGATCAGCCTTCTGCTGTTCAGCTAGCCTCATCGCATCCTCTTTCTCGATGATCTGCAGCTTCCGTAAATTCTTTTACTTATGGGCACTTACAGTTCCCAACAGTCTCTCCTTTTCAGCCATCCACAACTTTCCAGAATCGGCTTCCGATTGCCGGCGTGCAGTTTCTTGAGACAGCCGTTGGAAGGATACCTGAAATGTTCTTCCAAACAAACTCTCACAAAACTACCGCCGCTGCATCCAACGGAGACCCGTTTTCCTCTTCGTAGATCCGCTTCTTCAACTCCCCCACTTTGTCCCTAAAACCAAAATAATGTCAAAGAAAGGCTTCGTACTGTAACAATCTATTCCGCTCCTCCAAATAGTGATTCTGATCCAGCAGCGTTTTCATTTCCTGTTGTTGCTCGTTCAAATCCTATGACATTTTTAAGGTATAGCTGTATAAAAACCTCAGATATATTCATTTCCTCGGCGCCCGTTATTTGTGTCGGGATCTTGATATAGCGCGATAGATCAATCGTGACTGGTTGGTCCTGAAATATATGTCCATCCACTTTATTACCTAGATACCTTTAGCAGCCCAAAATCCAAAGTGAAAGTACACGTGAGCACTGAGAGTCCGATGAGCTGACCGACCAGGGGTTCGGCGTCTGGGCTTCGCAAGAGAGCCCAATCCTCGTATTGTTCCCTAAAATCGCTATGTTTCAAGCATTGCACACTTCCAAGTAGATTTTTTCCTACCTGACCACTGGTGAACTCGTATAATCGGTGAACAAATCGTGAAGCCTCTTCTGCATCATGGAAAGCCGCAGAAGGGCCCGAACCCTGCTAATCGAGGTTCTAAACGACTTTGTTACAAGATTCAAACTGCAAAGCACCCACTTCAGGTACTCCAACTGTTCCACGCAACGATATGCCTGACTAATCGAATTTTCAGAATTTCTAGGATCCACGAGAGCTCGCCCTAGGGTCGCCCATAAATCGGCGTCCGGGGAAGTGAGCGAAATCAGCGCCTTTTTATCTAAGCAACTTTATGAGGCTTTTCATCAATAAATTTACCACTGGTCTTCAGTCCATGAAACAACACCTTCTCCAGCATGATGAAAAAGTCGCACAACTCGGTGCCGTCTGCTGAAATAAGTAAAACCACCTCATCGAGTCGAGCAGCCAAATTACCGTTGACAAGTCGATTCAGCGACTTCATCGAATGCTCCAGCAATCCCTTGATGACCAGACGCGTGATGGTGGCCAGGTTACCGCGCTCATTTTCTAAAATCCTCTTTGTTTGAGGGTCAGTTGGTTTCTAGCGAGCTTCTTTCGATTATCTTTCGTTAGTCAGGCCCCAGTTTCAACCGCTGCTTACCCCTATTGATTCTTTCGATTCTGCTCGGCTCTGCCGTCCCAAATAAAGCATTTGTGGAGATGAAGAAGCTCATCTGTACAGATTTTCATCAATTTTCGCAGACTTCGAAGGCAACGGGGCCGCTTACGCTAGCTTAATTTTGCAACGAGGGTCATGCGAGCACAGGGATGAGGTGTGCTCTGGAGCCCTTTGTAGCCCAATAGGGCGACGTTAGGCAAGGTTATTGGTGGCAGATTTGGTTTCGGCATTTGTGGATTTGTTATTGAAATTATTTTAATCGGGTTTTTGACAGAAAAATCCCCAATAATTTGTAGAATGACGGCTAGTACGTCGACTCCCCACACAATCGGGGTCACGTACAGCAACAAGCGGCGGATATCGTACATACTCCGCGATCCCGAGGAGAAGCGACACCGAGCGTTCATCAACTGTCTCCAGTGGGACCCATCGACTAGCAGACTGTTTACAGGGGGCGCGGATACGATAATCAGGACGTGGAGGTTTGCTCTGAGTACACAGAAAGGGTGGTACTGGACTGTTAACAGGGGGGTCCTGTACGGTTATAACGAAATATAAACCATTTTTATAGCATTTTACCTAGTTTTTAAATAAAAAGCTCATAAAGATGTTGACTTTTGGCCCAAAATGTATGAAAAATTATCAAAAAAGCTCAGAATTATCAAAAAGGTTCGATCAATTTTTCTAACCTTTACGCAATCAAAAACCTATTAAAAACATAAAAATACACTATTTATTATTAATATTATTAATAGAGGGAAAAACAACAATTCGTTTTCCCCTGCCTCGTTTCCAGAACTTATGATTTTTTGGGAAAAAAATTGCTGAAAACAAAATAGTTTGCTAAAATCCTTTTTCACATAAACCACCTAGAGGATCCCCAGAGATGCCCCGACGCATGGTCAACCACAAGAAGCCCAGTACCTCTCCTCGATGGAACACCACACAGACTGGGTGAACGACATGGTGTTGTGCGGCGGCGGGAAATTCCTGCTGTCCGCCTCCAACGATTCAACGATTAAAGTGTGGAATGCAACGAAAACGTTTTGCATGTCGACACTGCGCACGCACGTCGATTACGTGTCGGCGCTGGCGTACGCCAAGGAAAGTGAGCGAGTAGCGTCGGCCGGGTTCGATAACTGCGTATACCTTTGGGACGTAGAAACCCTGACCCGGTTGACAGCCACCAACAATACGGTGACCACCTCGGCCCTGGCCGGCAACAAGAACAGCGTCTACGCGCTGGGGATGAACCACGCCGGCACGGTGGTCGTTTCCGGGTCCACAGAAAAGGTGCTCCGGATATGGGACCCGAGGACCTGTCAGAAAATGATGAAGCTACGCGGGCATACGGATAACATCCGCGCGATTGTAGTCAGCGCCGACGGGAAGCAGTGCATTTCTGGGTCTTCGGATGGGAGCTTTCGGCTATGGGATCTGGGCATGCAAAGGACCGTTTTTACGTCCAACGTGCACTCCGAAGGAGTCTGGGCGTTACAGGTGGGGATTTGAAATATTATAAAAAAAACATTATTTTTCGGCACCAGCCTAAACTTTTTATATAACGAGAAAAAGCTCTTAAATTACTTTTAAACTACCCTTGAATCAAATTTTTTAAACTTTTAATGAAAAATGTTTTCATTTTCATGCATATTTTATGTCGAAGAACCGATTTTTTTACATAAATTACCGTAGTTTCGGATTTTTCAAACATTTTGCAACATTCTAAAAAGTTTCTGGACCTTAAATTTAGTTAATTATATTAAAACAATATAAAAAAACTTTTAATTTGGCTTGCCATCCTTACCCATCTAAAAATGCTTACCAAATACTCGGGTGCCAAAGAAACTACAATCCAACCCAAAAACTCATCTTTTCAGACAGACGCTGGCTGGACTCACGTGTACTCGGGCGGACGCGACAAACGCGTCTACCGCACATCCATCAACAACTACACAAATTCACAACTTTTGTGCGTGGAAGAAGCCCCCGTCAAGCAAATGCTCCTTCTGGAAGCCGATCAGCCCAAGAGCCTCTGGGTGGCGTCGTGGACGTCCACGATACGACGCTGGCCAATCCCGCAGGGTTCCCAGCTGTCGATCAATGATGCCCCAGAGTGCTCTTCATACGACCTGATCCGTTTTGACGACCCGAAGCCGTTGGTGAGCCGCGAGGACATGATCGTCCCTGGGGCGCCTTCGCTGCGACAGCATATGGTGTTGAATGACAAACGGCACGTCGTCACCAGGGATTCGATTGGTCAGATTGCGCTCTGGGACGTGTTATCTGCTAAAAAGGTGGGGCTTGTTGAACTATAGTGATTTGCCAAGATCTGTATTTTCATTAGCGGGGGGGGGGGGGGGGGAGAATTTTAACCGAGCGCCGAAATACCACGGGCGGGCCAGGACACAAAAATTCCGCTGCACAGTTCCTATCGCGCGCCCTTGTGACCGTAACCTCCCCAGAGCTCCCCCAGAGCCCGTTCGCCTTTTCCGACCAGCTTTTCATCGCGTGAATAATATAAAAGGAAGTGAAAAACAAAAACAATAATAAAAAGCAAAAAGATAACTTTTTTAATTAGAAAAACACTTTTTGAAAGGTACAATGGAAAAATACCCATTAGTTGAAGGATTTTAACCGAGCGCCGAAATACCTAGTAACGGTAGAGCACGTTTTTAAATAGTTCATAGTAAGTTTTAACAACATTTAAACTAGAAAAGTAACCAAAAAACGCCGGAAATTTTTGAAAACTTGCAAATTTAGTTAAAACATTTCTTGTAGATTTTACGTTTTAAAATAGTAAACAAGTTTTAGAAACAATTCCTGTTTTTATGAATACTAGAAAATCGATTATAACAAAAAAACGGCTCCCCCGATAAAGTTAAAGCGTCTCAAAATATAATGAAAGAAACGGTTCAGGTCAACGAGTGGACGGACAAGACAATGGAAGAGGTGGTGAAGGAACACTCGAGAAAAGTGTTCGTCCCATCATGGTTTTTGGTTGATTTGAAGAGCGGCATGTTGCAAATAGCGCTCGACGAGTCTGACGTTTTCTCGGCATGGGTATCGGCCAAAGACGCGGGCATCAGCGATGCCGACCAAAAGGTTTGTCCTAGCAGCCGAAAAATATAATCAACAGCAAGTGCAGGTGAACTACGGCGGTATGGTACTGCGGGCACTATTCGAGAGATGGCCGGAATGCGCGGCCGCATCCGACGACCCGTCGCTCGTCGGGCATCCAGTGATCCCGTCCTATACCCCGTTAATTGTCAGCGAGTCGGGCACTGGGCGTCCGCTTTTCCGCCTGCTGGTACGGGATGCGAATGGCGAGGCGGAGAGCCAGATGTTGAGCGAGGTGTTGCCGGCATGGGTCATCGACGTCGTGCAAGCCGGGCAATTGCCCAAGTTCTCGAAGATGCCTTTCCTGCTGTTGCCCCATCCTTCATTGCAGCAAAAACAGCCGAAGAAAGATCGGCTTTCCGCTACGGAGATGTTGCAGGTGGGGAAAAGCTAGAGAAGCACGTGTAAAAAATGCTTTTTTTTTGTTCTATCAGCTAATAAGAAAGACTAAGAACTATAAAATGCGCTATAAACGCTAAATAAACCTTGCTAGGTAGATTTAATATGAGCAGCCCCCCACCCCCGTTAACATTTCAGAACCAAAATATTTTGCAAACGTCACCCAACCCAATTCATTTCCCTCTATAGGTCAGAAAAGTGATGGAACACGTCTACGAGAAGGTACTGCATGGAGGCAGCGAATATTCCTCGCTCGAGGTGGGCAGCACAACAGTATATTGAACTCCGGATTCAGGCTCAACCATCGCTGATCAACCGCTCGCCGAACATCGAGACGTGCCTGGAGCTCTACTGCAACGACCAAAAGCTCGACCCCGAAATGGACCTACGCACCGTCAAGCACTTCATTTGGAAGCAGGGCGGCGACCTAGTCCTTCAATACAAATACCTCAAATAGTCCGCCCGATTACGGTTTCATTGTTTGTGCAATAATGCCAGAAAATGATCTCAATAAACGGTGTCCACACGTATTTATCAAAACTTTAAGCGAATAAGTCGGTGGCGATGGGTTCGGGTGGGGCGGGGCGAGTAGAGGCGGGAGATGGCAGGGGCTCAGGCTTTGTTCACATAGAGGCCGATCTGGTTCGGGTCTAAACAAAGTCGTGGGATGGAAACAAAAAAATATCACGATTACCGGTAGTTCTAATGTTGACGGATTGGGGGGTCAAATTGCCACGCATGACGACCTCAGCCACCGAGCTGGAAGCAACGGGCTCCACTGCAACGATTTCAGATTAGCCAATGCACGAGGCCCTACTTTCAACGAGCACCACGGAAGGCGGCATCTCGTACTCGGACCAGTCGCCGTGGTCGCTCTCGAGGCTGCTGTCGTCAAACTCGACGTTGCAGGTATTTTGCTTCGGCGAGTAGATCGACGGATCCGAGTGCTCCCAAGCTGTCAGCACCGAGGAGACCGAGGCGCCTGCAATTGAGAGTTTTCAAGTTGATCGAACATCCACATACACGGCCTTGCGGCAGGAGGAGAAAAGTTCTCCATGCTGACGGCCGCTTCGCTGGGCAGCGCTTCGTAGATGGAGCTGTCGAGGGCCGTCTCCATGTCGGCTAAACAAAAATTATAATTTTCAATTCCAAGAAAAATACGTACGATCGAGCGACTCGAGCATGCTGACGTTGGTCTCGCTTCGCGGCGGGTCGTAGAAGGAACAGTCGACGGGCTCGTCGAAAATACCTGAAAAGTAGACTTTCGAAAACGAGTGACCCCATACCTTTACTGATAGCTTCCATGCTGACCATCACCTCGCTGGGGAGCACTTCGTAGACCGAGTCAAGGCTGACGGTGATCGTGCTCTTGCCCGGCGAGTACACGCTGCACTCGGCGTCCGACAAGAAGTCGGCTTGGACCGGGCCCGAATCCATTGACAGTTTTCAGGAACAGACGAATTTAGAAGTCAGTGAGGCGCGGATAGAGAATGTGGATCGGTGATCCGCTTTTTCAGGTATATTAGAAAATATTGGGAAATCGACGGGAGCTTCCTGCGAAGAGCTCCTTGGATGCAAAATTCCTCATCTTAAAATATTATTAAAATAAAATATGTTTTATCTATACACAAATTTATTTCTTTTGTCATCGCAAAGTCGGCAGACCAAAAATCAAAACAAAGATTTGAGTCGGTAACGCCAACGCACCAATACAATTGACGGATTCCGTAAAGCGCCTCGGTATGGACAGCGAGTTTTCTTTTTCTTTTCCAGTTTCTGTTCAACTTTCTCGAATCTCGAAGATTCTTTTCACGTGTTCTTACGAAATTTCCTTTTCTTTTCTTCTACAAACTTTTTTTCCAGGGATGGGCGACATGGGCTCCCCATCGCATGCCCTTGCACAGGTATATTTCCCAATAAGTTTTGTAAAACCCATTTTTCCAGGCCTCCGGCGATGACGTCGCGGACCCAGTCGCTCTCAAATTGGATGCTTCCCCGGCCAATTCATACATTTCCGACGCGACGCAGTCTCCTTCTGGCGGATCGGGCACTGACTCCGTCTCTTCCGGAGAGAAACCGCAGGATGAAATCAGGGCTGAATCGCGGTCGCCGCTTCTTTCAACGGAACATTCGAGGCCAAGCCACTCTCCGACGGGTTCATCCACTGCTCGCGAACGTCGCCGTCGCAGCCAAGCCGTATCGCCATCTTCCTCCGGAACGCCGGGAAGTCAACGCACGCGTTCGCGCTCCCAGTCTGCTCGTCAAAGCCGTGATGCGTCGCCTTCGGTATCGCCATCGGCTCGTGGGACACGCCGCACCCCATCTCCCTCACCATCACCAGTTCGTGGCAGACGGCGATCGGCGGCCCGCTCTCGGTCTCCTGCACGTGGTCACCGTCGCTCCCCACGCCGTTCGCGGTCTCCAGCCGGGGACCGCCGTCGCGCTCCATCACACTCGCGATCTCCTCCAGGCCGTGGTCGTGCTCCATCAAACTGCCGCTCTCCGCCGGCCCGCAATCGCGTACGCGCTCCATCTTTCTCACGATCTCCTGCCGCGCGTGGACGTCGTCGCTCTCTTTCACGTTCCCCGCCGGCCCGTGGACATCACTATCGTCGCACTTCGCGTTCCCCTCCGCGTCGACGCGTCAACCGTTCCTTTAGCCGTTCACCAGGCGGCAGTCGCAGCCCGTACGCTCGCCGCAATTACTCTGGGTAAATTTTGTAAATCATGACAGTAGTTATGCTTTAGGCGGCCAGTGCCAAGGGTTATCTCGCGCCCTGAAGCGGCACGTATGGGAGTATCTACTGGCACCGGCTTCAATGGCTCCAACCGCGATAACCCGGATCCGTCAAAGTAAATTTCTAGTTTTTTTTAGTTAACAAATTTTAGGGTGCTTGGCGTTTTCAACCTGTCGAGAAGGACAGACGAGGAGTCGTTGCGTAAAGTGTTTGGCCGCTTTGGTGAAATCGATAGGGTAGGTCTGTATTCTGGGCATTAAACCGTTTTAGTTGAAACTTATCCGCGATCGTTTCACGATGGAATCCCGCTGTTTCGGTTTCGTTAAATTTGTTCACCAAGCTGATGCCACGGACGCTAGGCATGAAGTAAATGGCGTCGAGGTATTTATTGAATCAGAACTTTTTTGTAAGAGTGTCTAGCTTGACGGACGCTCGCTGCGTGTGGATTACTCTGTCACCGACCATGCCCATGAACCAACTCCTGGATTGTACTGTGGCGAGGCTAGGCAAAGGGATTACGACCGCAGGCGCCGATAGTGAGTAAATATCCTGAAGCTAATATTTTATTTATAGTCATAGCAAGCGCTCCCGAAGCCGCTCCCCGCCCCGACGGACCCGTTACTGATTGCTGAAAAAAAGTGCCCGAAGGCTTGCATCCTCCGTTTTCCCGAAATTATGCCTGTTTCAAGCCAATTGGCGTGTCATTTACAAATTCGTTATTGGTTCTTAACTTGTTCTTGTTTGGTTCGAATGCTTTGCAATAAACGTTGCTTTCAAAGTCGAAGTCACAGCCTTCTTGCGATGCGATAGCAATCACTTGGGACAGGCCGTCAATCGTCTAAATTAGGTCTTGAAATAAGGCCAGTGTTTTCAGGATTTTTTAAGTATTTCAGACAACTTACAACGGCGGGATCCTCAGCCACAGCCTCTGCAATGGGGTAGTGGAGAACGGTGGGGATCACGGGCTCGGATAGCTGGGAGAAGAAGTCCTTCAGCGCCGTGGCCTCCACATGCAACGGCAATTCGATTGACGATAGATCAGGGGCGCTCTGAAGTCGGTGTTTTTTATCTAGCTGGTGTTTCAGGATCTGAGAAGTTCGAATAGATAATACGATTCTTTTTGGGTTTTTATGGAAAACCCACATTTGACGCTAACTGCCGCTCCACCTCTGCCAACTGGGATTGATTTCCCGGGATCCGGTAGATGCCCTCGGTTTGCAGATCGCCCTCCTAGAAAACGTGGGTCATGAGAACACAAGGTACACTCACCTTTTCGACTTTTCGACATTCACGCATCGAGCGAGGAAATGCGGCAACCCACCCGCTCGGGCGCATTCGTCGCCCAGCTGGCGGCCGGCGGAAATGGTCTAAAAAGTCAGGGTTTAGTTTTGTGCCTTCAAAATCACCGATATTTCTGCCGATGCGGCACGGCCGTTCCTTTTCGGCTAGCGTGATGGGAGCCAGGTGAATCCGGTGACCATTTTTTCGCAGGAGGCTAGAATTTTTGGGTTAGGAGAGGAGCGTGGGTATTCGTAAGTGAAAAACGTGTACTTGAGTACTTGCGGGGGGGGGGCACAGTTTTCCGTCCGAAGCCTAGTTTTTCTCTATAGATAAAAAAGTTTTTCGATAAAAATTGTATTCACCTATAATATGATTTTTAATAATTTTGTAACTAAAGAAAGTGCAATGTTTTTTGCTAGTCATGGACACCAAAACTTTACAAATTCAGTTTGCCTTGAAAATCGATTTTTAAGACGTTAAATGACCAGTTTTTCGGTTTCAAGCATCTTCTAAAGTTTTTATGTGAGTGGTTTCCAATTTAATTTTACCAACTAAGGACAAAAATACACACCTCTATGCGTACTTACGAGCCTATCCTGGAGCTATAGGAAAAAAAGTATGATAGCTCCCCCGAGATACCAAAGTACCGAAAACCCCAAACTCTAGCATGCTGTGTAACGAACAGCACAGCTTATGCTCGCTTTAACAACAACTAGCGGTGCGTCTCGTGCCCTCTTACGAATACCTATCAGAATCGCGAAAATCAGAATCGCGAAGATCAGAATCTCGAATTTTCAGAATCTCGTAGCTTCAAAATATCGAATTTTCAAAAACGAATTTTCAGAATCTCGAATTTTTAGAATATCGAAATATGCCTATGCTGGATTCAGGGCGTAGGCGTGCAATTTCCGGATCCTTTAATGCTGATTTAGACCATGGAGTTTTTGAGATTAATTCGAGATTCTAAAAATTCGAGATTCTGAAAATTCGATATTTTGAATTTCGAGGTTTTGACAGATTCCCGCCCGTCACTTCTAAGACATTTGGTACAGGACTGGTATCGGGGCGGGGGAACTAATCCCGTACCGCCTTTTATGCCGAAATACAATCCATTTTCAACGTATTTTAGAAAATTTTTAGATAAAAGTTTATCGAAAATGCCGAATAAAAGCATCAAATTTTGATCCCCCTACCCGCCACCCGCCCCCCGCTAACAGTTCAGTACCAAAGTTCTCACGCCGGTAATTGAAGGTGGGGTTTTTTACATCAGACAGCAGAATGCCTTAATTAGCATCAATGGAGCACTCTGCCGGAAACAAAAATAATTAGCATGTAACTACGCGTATAAATCAAGATCAAACACCCAACCAATCGTCGATCTTATCTCACATCTATTCAAGTCGACGGGCAAGGTAGGGCTTACAGATCAATTTATCAAACCTTTCAAAGATGCCGCCGACGTTGGATTTGACTCGCGAACACGTGCCGAAGAAGGACAAGGACAGGCAGGCGGTCAAGAAGCAAGGAAAGGAGAAGGAGCAGCTGAAGGAGAAGCAGAGAAAGAAGGACGAAGACAAAGAGAAGGACAAGGAGAAGGAAAAGGACAAGAAGAAGAAAACCGTCCCCGTGGAGCGCGACGAAGAAGTCGGGGAAGAGGCCCTCGCCAAGGTGGCGCCAGCCTGGCGACCGGCCCTCGTATCTTTTTTTGACGCGTTTGCAAGGAGGGAAAAATGTGTTTCCTAGGATCTAATTAATCCATACAAATTGTGGAGGTGTTTCTAAATGGTTTTTTTGCTGTTCCCAAACGCGAAAACTTACAAAATTTTGTTTTTAAAAAAATCGATTTTTCGACCAAAATTTGCGTTTTGCTTAATATTTTTACTGTTTTAGCTGGTTTTCTATTTGAAATTATTCCAAAAAAACTTGCCCCCCAATAATGCGAAAAAACCGGAAATATGGTGGATGTTTTTTGTGGAAAAACGGGTAAACTCTATGTCGGGAATTTCCACTGCTTTTCCATCGAAAATTTCCGTTTCGTAAAAAACTCCTGCGTAGCAGTTAGGATATTTTTTTATTAGCATATTAAATTGAATCGTTCCAGGTCGAGATGGTGTCGTTGGAGACGTGGCTCGAGCGCAAGGCCGCCGGACTGTTGGCCAAGAAGGATGTGAGCAGTCTTTTCCACACGTAAAACCGTTGTTTTATAGTGTAAGGCCTGCCCGAAGACCGAGCACGAGCAGAGGCACAAGAAAGGACTGTGTTCCGGATGCTACCAGCGTTCCGGGTAAGAAAAACGAAGCCACACACTGAAATTGGCTCAATTACAGACGCGGCAACGACGCCACCCACAACGCCAGATGCGTCATTTATCCGGAGCTCAAGGAGTTGAAGTGAGTACTTTCAAGACTTTGGCCATCGCAAAGCCCAGCTACACTCCTAACCCTCCACTAATTTAAATTTCCAGGGGAGTCTCCGCGATTATGCTCCACTTTGCGGCAGGTATGCCGCAAATGACGTTCAACTCACCTCAAATTTAGACGCTGCCTGCACGCTGTGCTGGCGCCATCACCACCTGCTGCCGACCGATTAGCCCGCCCAGCTCGACGACGGCCATGGACCTCGACGTGAAGCCACCTCAAATGCCCAGCCGTCCACATGCTCGAATTCCTCATTTCCCCCCATTATTTGATCATCTGCCCAATTCGTTTCAATATTTTCCGTGATCCTCGCTATGTTCCGTTACGATGTTCTCCTCGTCTTCTTGGCATAAACAGTTGATCTCGCTTGTGTTGATCCCGACACTTGGCGGTGGAGTCGATTTCTTTTGCAGATCTGTTTCACAAAACGAAAGAATGAGAGCGGAGTCGAGTTTGGCCTGAGGAGCTTGGCCCGGGGAGTCGAACAAAGAACCTACCAGAAAATATTTCAAAGCAGAAAAAAATTGATTTTGTGAAGTTAATTCAAATTCAAAAAGGAAATGTTGCATTCGGTCAATATTATGGATAATCTTTATTCCTTTTTTTGAATGGCTCGTACGAGATATGGAGCGAGAGAGAGATAGCGAGAGAGAGACAGCGAGAGAGATAGCGAGAGATATAGCGAGAGAGAGATAGCGAGAGAGAGATAGCGAGAGAGAGAGATAGCGAGAGAGAGATAGCGAGAGATAGAGAGCGAGAGAGAGATAGCGAGAGAGAAGGGCCTGTCACTGCACCTTAAGAAAATGGGATAATCTTTATTCCTTTTCTTTGAATCGCTCACACGAGATATAGAGATAGAGAGAGAGCGAGAGAAAAAGAAGAGGATGGACCCGCTACTGATTGCTGAAAAAAGTGCCCGAAGGCTTGCATCCTCCGTTTTCCCGAAATTATGCCTGCTTCAAGCCAATTGGCGTGCCATTTACAAATTCATTATTAGTTGTTAACTTGTTCTTGTTTGGTTCGAATGCTTTGCAATAAACGTTGCTTTGAAAGTCGAAGTCAAAGCCTTCTTTTAGACATGGTCATGTGCGGTTGAGCAGTGGTATTTTGAACTGATTTATCGAGGGCGTGCGTAGCGTATATTTGCTATATTTGCCGTAAGCACCGAGTGGTTTCACCAAATAAAGTAAGAAGGGGCTTGTGCGAACATGCTTTGATCGGCGTCCCGACTATTCTTTGAAAGGTTTGACTGATCAGCATGAAACCCGTTGCACGAAAGCGATATTTCACAGATGTCGGTCGATAGGAAGGCAAGCTAATGTTTTGACTACTTTTGAGGGAAGAGAACTGCTGAGTGACGCATGAGGGCCTCGGCGGCCGTTTGAAGACGTTTCGTGCCCGTGCTCATGGCGGCGAACGATGTGAATTCGGGGCGGAAGAGGGTAGGCCACCAAACCTTAAATTTTTTCAGGTTTATTCCGTGATGTTTCGTTACCTTTGATAGATTTGCGAAATCCATGGCGGTGGCTGGCGCCGATGCCACTTTTCTCAAATGTCCCAGCAAAAAGGCTAATGTTGAAACGTTGGGGGTGGGCAGGGTGGCGATCACTTGGGACAGGCCGTCAATCGTCTAAATTGGGTCTTGAAATTATGGCACTGTTTTCAGAATTTTTTACATTTCAGACAACTTACAACGGCGGGATCCTCAGCCACAGCCTCCGCAATGGAGTCGTGGAAAACGGTGGGGATCACGGGCTCGGAGAGCTGGGAGAAGAAGTTCTTCAGCGCCGTGGCCACCACATGCAACGGCAATTCGATTGACGACAGATCAGGGGCGCTCTGAAGTCGGTGTTTTTTAACTAACTGGTGATTTCAGGATAGAGTTTCAGGCCTGAGAAGTTCGAATAGATAATACGATTCTTTTTTGGGTTTTTATGGAAAACCCACATTTGATGCGAACTGCCGCTCCACCTCTGCCAACTGGGATTGATTTCCCGGGATCCGGTAGATGCCCTCGGTTTGCAGACCGCCCTCCTAGAAAACGTGAGGTCTTGAGGTTACAACGTTGGGCCACTCACCTTTTCGATGAAATTCACGCATCGAGCGAGGAAATGCGGCAGTCCACCCCCACGGGCGCATTCGTCGCCCAGTTGGCGGCCGGCGGAAATGGTCTAAAAAGTCCGGGTTTAGTTTTGTGCCTTCAAAATCACCGATATTTCTGCCGATGCGGCACGGCCGTTCCTTTTCGGCGAGCGTGATGGGAGCCAGGTGAACGCGGTGACCACTTTTTCGCAGGAGGCTAGAATTCTTGGTTTAGAAAGGAACGGGGGTATTTGTAAATCAAAAAAACCCGGTACTTGTGTATTTGCGAGGGGGGCATAATTTTCCAGCTGAAGGCTAGATTTTCTCTATAAATAACGAACTTTTTTATATAATAATTTTGTTTTTCTGTAATGTTATTTACAATAATTTTGTAGCTAAGGAAAGTACAATGTTTTTAGGTTTTCTAGGACATAAAAACTTTACGAGTTTGTGTTAGAAATGAACTTTCCTAGAAAATCGATTTATTGAACCTGACCAAATTTTAGATTTTCAAGCTTTTTTCTGAAGTTTTTCTGCCTCGAATCCATGTAATTTTATTAAAAAACAAAAAATAACATGTTTATAGTAACTTACGAGGCTATTCTGTGGCTATAGTAAAAAAAGTAGCTCCCCCGCGATACCAAAGTACCGAAAAACCCCCAAAATGCCAGCATGCTAAGCAAGGAATAGAAGCGCTTATGCTCACTATAACAACAATAAAAGCCAACCTTTCAACACCTGCCGCCGTTCGGGTTGTGGCGAAGGAGCCGGGGATGGGGCGAGGCTGGTGGTGCCCTTCCTGCCCAACCGGAACGACGAAGCCACCTTGCGGACGAGCCCTCCTCCCCCATTCTCCTTGCCATCAACATCGCCCTTCCGCTTCTTCTTCCGCTTGGCCTCCTCCCGGGCCAACGACTCCACCGAGATCGATTCTTTCAGCGGCACCTGCTTTTTCGTCTTGGATAGTGCTTCGCGAATCGCGCTTCCCGCCAATACATCCATGGTCACAGAACGGGCGCCGAAGAACAACGACGAGCGCTTGTCAGTTTTGGGCTGCTTGCTGTCTTGGGGCTCGACGGGCTTTTCCTTCTTTTCCTTCCGGGAACCCGATGAGAATAGGCCGGAACGGGGCCGGAATGAGGCGGTGGATGAGGGCGAGGTGGCGGTTGAGGAGACGCCGGAAGACGAGGGTGGTGGAGATAAGCATGGGGCTGTCGACCGGACGCGGACTACTGGTGACCGCATGAACACACCACCTATACGACACGACGGTAAAGGTTGCTTATCGGGGGGGCGGCTGCAATAACCGGGGTGTCAACTAATTTTGTATTTTTAGAGACTATTCAGTTTTTTTGAAAATTTCTTCGGATAGAGCGTTCAAAATATCCTAATGGATAGTTTCAACGTAAAAATATTGATCGAGAAGTGGTTTTATTTAGCAAAAATTGTTGGTATAATCAAGTAATAATCTTAAATTAAGATATTTTGCACTGAAATCGTTTCTTTTAATAGTACTTTGCGATGATCGATCGAATGGAATTGATAAAATCCCGACAAAAAAATAAAAAGGCCCCGAAAACCCTTCCTTTCTTGTTGTTAAAATTGATTTCGATCAAGCGATTTTCGCCGAAATTGAATCTTTTATGAATTTTTCGATGCGCTATCCGATGGCAAAATTGGTTTCACCCTCCCCCCCCGTTAAGCAACCTTTACCCGATACGACAGGTTTACGACCGAAATGACTACTATAAAGTTCTCGTCACAACAGCGATCGGCCACCCACCTGTACTGCTCGGCTGGTTGGGGCTGAGGGGGGCTTGGCGTAGATTTCTCGTGCTCGGCTCGGAATGGAGGGATGATTGGGGCGATGAAAGTTGTGGATGGCCGCGAGAACTGCTTCTCTGAACAAAATTGGCATGGAAATAGCGATAATTTCAAACCTTGTGCGCTTTGTACGACTTTTTCTCCTTGTGATGGCGATCGGCGTTCACTTCTTCGAGCGTCTCGTAGATGTGCTCGTCGGCATCCTGAATTTAGAAGTAGAAACTTGTTATTTTCATTTGATAAACGAACGAGAAAGATTATTTTCGGCTTTCCTGAGTTTTTTTTAACGTTTTCTAAACGGTTTTTCGATTAGTTAAATAGCTTTAAAAGTATTCTTTATCGATTTCTACTGCCCGTTGGATTTTCCAATTTTTTATTTAGTGGCGTGAAAAGTTGGATGTTTTCTGAAATTTGGAACTGGAAAATATTTTTTGGCGGTTGTTAAAGGTACCAATTTCAATCGATTCAATCCCAAAAATCCTGTTTTTTAACGAAACATGACGAATTTCGACCAAAATTTGAGGTTTTAAGCATTTTTCCAAGTCTTCTAAATAGTTTTCGCGCTTTAAATATAGGTAATTTATTGAAAAACAACTATTAAAATATCGTATTCGTCCCAGAACTGGCTTGCGAAGACATATAAAAGTTGATTTGTATGTATTATTAGCTGATTTTGCGCTGTTCAGAATCCCCGTTGTTTTCCGGCCAATTTCGCACCTGCACCGTCGAGTATTCCGGAGCGATATCGATGAGCTCGGGCGTGGCAAGCGGCGCAGCATCGATAGGCCCGGGGAAAAGGAGTCGAGGCGCCGGTGGGGCTCTTCGGCGTACCGGCCCATCTGCTCGGCTAACGAGCCCGAACCCGAATGTACGCTAAAGGCCAAATGACACGCGGGCGGTAAAACACGTACCCGTTGCGTTGGAGCTGTGGAGGGGGCCTGGAAGTTGTTGCTGGATGAGGGGCCCTCGTAGGCTAAAAGAGCTAGTTTTTCGATTGAAGATGATCAAACCTGGCAGTTGATTTGGGCGGCTACGCTGGTAGAGCGAAGACTCGGCGCTGCCTGAGGATGATGAGCAAACCATCGATGAGCCGCTGCCCCCTGAAAATGAGCAATAGAATGATGGACAGGCGAGCAGAGATTATTTAGGAAATTCTGGATCTTGCTTAACGCTAGATGGCAAAAAAAGACGTTTTAACGTTGGAAGAAGCTTGAAGAACTACTGGGAGGTGCACCTTGAGACAAACTTTTTTGGTTCTGAACTCTTAGCGGGGAAGGGGGTTCAACGGGGCAGGGCAACCAAATTTTTTAAAGTTAAAACTTTTTTTTTTATAAAAAAATTTTTTTTTTTAAAAAAAAAAAAAAAAAAAAAAAAAAAAATATTTAATTAAAAAAAAAAAAAAAAAAAAAAAAAAAAAAATATTTTTTATTTAAATATAAAAAAAAAAAAAAAAAAAAAAAAAAAAAAAAAAAAAAAAATAAATTATTTAATTAAAAAAAAAAGAAAATAAAAGATGTCCCCCAAAAAAAAAAAAAATAATTTATATTAAATAAAAAAAAAAAAAAAAAAAAATAAAAAAATATAAAAAAAATTTTTTAAAATATTAAAAAAAAATTTTTAAAAATTTATTTATATGCTGCCCGTTGCGTGTCGCGGCCAAATTTTCGCGGTTTTACTTAAACTTGCTATTTTAGAGAATTTATCGCCTATTTTTGTCGAGGATTAAGATGATGGCCAGCGCGGCGTGTATGACACCCCAAAAATTCGTGCCTAAAACGCGCGGGGCAAAACGCAGTGTGTCAACAGGCTATCAGCGCGAAGGCGGGTGCGGATGACTAACAATGTTATACAGACAGTCGGCCAACTGCGGGGGGCTGACGAGATATTTGTCGAGTGGTGGTGGCTGGGTGGATGGATGGATGGATGGTAAGGGCCGTGAAAGGCGGCGGCTACATCGCGGCGCACCTGGCATGCGCGCGCCGGCGCTGGGGGCGCGGGAGCGCGCTTTTAGAGGCAGCTATCAGATCTCACACCGTTCGCACCCCTTTTGGTAATGCTAGGCAAGACCCTCCACCCCAAACTCAAAATTTTCGATTTTTTTTTGCTATTTTTTCGGGATTTTGCTTAACACGATTCGATAGAGATTCGGAAAATCTATTATGCGTTGCAATCCCAGCTTAAAATCGCACAAATTTAAAAAGTTATAGCGAAAACAAAACAAAAAAAACTGTGATATACGAAAAATTTGAAAGTTGAACTTTACAAAAAATAGTTTTCTGCATTGTCGATATTTTTTCGATATTTTGACGGGACCAGTCGATAAAACAGCAAAAATATAGCCAGAGTTTTAATTAGCACTCAAAATACTGAATTCGAAATCAGTAGAAAAACAAGAAAAAGCCTTCAAAATGGGTTGTTATCTCTTTTCGACATTTTTCGGCATTTTCGCTATTTTTTTCAACAATTTTTTTGCGCAGTATCTAAAGCTATGCCAAGTGCTTGAAGTACACCTAAAAATAATGTAACTAAAATGGCCGGAGTCGCGGTGTCTCCCCTCCCCCCCGCTAACGAACTAGAGCCACCACGCGCGCGGGGGTCGCGGGGGCGCTGACCCCGCCGTATTTTGACGCAACCGCCGCGAAATCCCATTGGCATCAAGGGCGCCTGTGTTTTTAGAGCGGACCGATTTGGTTGGCGGGGGCTTAACAAAATTGAAAATTGAATCGTTGATTCGATTAGATGACCGGTGGACGGGCGAGTGGACAAAACAAAAAATTGACCAGGGATCTTTGGGATTTCGGACGGGCGTTGGGCAAACTAGCAGTGATCTCTGAGGGTTTTGGGGGTTCTTAGGGCAAACTGGCAATGATATCTCTTTTTTGGGCACTGAACTTTTAGCGGGGGGACAAAATTTTGCTTTTTCATGCGTTATTTTTCAAGGTTTTTTAGTTTTGCTAGCTAGAAAGTGACAAAAAAAATGTTCGCAATTTGTTGACTTTTTTGGGTTATTTTTAATACATTTTTACCAAAAATTTACTTAGTTATGAGCTTTGATATCTCAAAAAACTTGTAACATGTTGTAAAATCATTTATATTTAGTTAGCTTTTTTGACAATTTCGAGGCAGGTTAGCAGAGACCTTTGGGGTTTCACAATAATTTTGGAGCTAGCTAGCCGAGATCTTTTGGATATTGATGGATCCTAGGGCAAGCTAGCAGAGATCTTTTAGAATTTTGCGGTCTAGACACCTTACGCCTCGAGGCTATTATATAAATGCTGACCGATGTATTCTGGGCGCAAAATTTGCAGGTGAAAAAAGCATAAAAATTGATGGGCAGCGGCTGTGGCGGTGGCCATGTGGCCGGGGCAGCAGTCGGCTGTATTCCCCCACATCGATTTTGGATAGATGATGATGATCGGGGGCTTGGTTGTGCTTTGGTTTTGAAGAAGAAGGAGGAACAGGAGGGGAACGGGATCGGGGTCAAGAAGCCATTCAATTTTTGAGGGGGTTTCAAGGGGCGTAAAACGCAAAAAATTCCGTAGAATGCGTAGAAGCTACGGGACTAGCGTATGAGCGTGGCGCGTCACGTTGGGGGCTACGCTAGTATCCAGTTTACACCGGAATCGAACTCGCAATTCGAGAAAAGGATATTTTTTTCAGGATTCCTCCGTCTTTCGTTGCGTAAACGATCCCGGAAGTCTCTAGGAACGCGGAAGCGCAGCGGGCGCGCTGCGTGTCGCAAAAGTTAGGCAAAAGTTCCGATGCATTCCATAGGCAAAATCCATACCAATTCCTTGCCAGTCCCTTTAACCTGTGAAGGCAAGGCTATTGGATTTTTGGGCCTGGATACTTATGGATTTTTAGCCACAACCGCCACACGCATCGCGCATGCGCCTGAGGCTTGGAAATGGGCTCTGGGCAATTACCCGATAAAAGTCTGCCGCGTGCGTGCGTACTTGCGTTGCGTGTCGCGCGTACAAGCCTAATGGTCAGGGCGCCATCTAGCAGAGGCCATTGCGGATAAAAACGCCAGAAAAGCGCCAACGCGCGTTGCGGTCGTGCGCCTCAAAATCCATCGAAGCCAAGCCTTCCTAGTCCCTTTAAACGGCATATTTGCGCGTAAATTCGCATATACAAGGCCGAGGTGCGGTTGAGACTAGCAAAATCGAGGCGGTGAGACGATTAATTGGATTTGGTGGGGCGCGTAGGGGGGATTGGCGGGGGTCGGTTGAAAAGACAAAGGATGGTTGCGGAATGTGAGGCAGAGAAGAAGGAGGCCGAGCCTCCTCCTCCTCCTCCTTTGCACCCCATTTACTAGCCGACCGAGATGGGGCGAATGGCCCGGGGGCACATTAGCCCGGACAGTAAACTTTGCCCGGTCTTTGGGCCCCCGGGGCCCTAAAATCGGGAGAGCAGACTGGGGCTCAAAAACTCGGGCTAAATTTTGACGTAAATTGGCGGGTTTCGTGGCTGGCTAGGCCCTTTAAAATTGAAAGTCGGGTGTTAGATTGGCATTTCCTGGATTGGCTTTATAATATTGAGATGTTCCTCAGCAGGAGCATGAGCATGCATCAGCCTAGGATGGAGAGAAGTCCACGTCGAAACGTAAGCTTAAGCCTAAACTCAAGCTCGATCCCAAGCCGAAGCCTAAACCTAAGCCCCAGCCTAAGCCCGAGCTTGAGCCTGAGCCTGAGCCTGACAAGGGATGGTCCCAGCTCGGAATCGAATTCGGATTTGAAAATTTGCACACTGATAGAGCTCGACGAGACAAATCGATGGTGTAACTTCAGCAGCAGATACCCCGAACTAACAAAGTTATAAGCATTTTTAGTTTTTGCATACATTTTGCAGATTTTTCGCCAGACCTTCATAAGCCCTCCCCATTCCCCCATCAGCGTGGTCTGGTGGTCTAGTGGTGTAGTCGGCGGCGTCTGGGGAATCTATCAAGGGTTCGAACCCGCCCACGATTTTTATTTTTTGCTTTGGTCCAAAGATTCCTCTTGGCATTCCAAAGACCTTAATGGCTTTTTAGGCATTCACCAGGCCCAGGAAGCGCTCGCAGCAAAAAAATCCCACTCCTAAAAATTTTTGGAAATTTTGAGAGTTGGCAAGGTAACCATAGTAGGATCAGTTCAAAGAAAATAATTTTGATTATTTTCATGCAGCTTGGGATACGATAAAGTGTTGATAAGCAGATTGCCAGCCTTCTGAAAGTTTCCCTAAAATTTTTTGAGGAGGCATGAGCACAGGCAAAAAATGTTAAATTTTTCGCAAAGCTGCTTTATTGTTGGCAACGCTTCCTGGTTCCTGGTGAATGCCTAAAAGGCCATTAAAGGTCTTTGGAATGCCAAGAGGAATCTTTGGACCAAAAAGCAAAAAATAAAAACCATGAGCGGGTTCGAACCCTTGATAGATTCCCCAAACGCCGCCGACTACACCACTAGACCACCAGACCACGCTGATGGGGGAAGGGGGAGGGCTTATGAAGGTATGGCGAAAAATCTGCAAATGCATGCAAAAACTAAAAATGCTTATAACTTTGTTAGTTCGGGGTATCTGCTGCTGAAAGTTACACCAATCGATTTGTCTCGTCGAGCTCTATCAGTGTGCAAATTTTCAAATCCGAATTCGATTCCGAGCTGAGACCATCCCCTTGTGAGCTTAAATCCCAAGCCCGGTGCGTTTTTGTCTACTACAAACTAATAACCCTAAAAACGCTAGAATTTTTGTTAGATAGGTTCAGTTAGATAAGTTACCCCACTGAAGTTACCACCCTCCCCCCGCTAATAGTCTAGTACCTCGATGCTCCTCCTTTCCATCACAGTGCCCATTTTTGGCGCCCCAAAAAATGGGCGTTTCAATATGCTCATAAAAATCTAATGTGCGCCATCGCGCGAGGGGCACAAAATAGGAAACGATGTGTTGGTGAGGGGATGGCTATGGTATGTGTGTGTTGGGGGTGTTATTTAGAATGGCCCCCGCCACGCTGCTGCCAATTTCCATATATACGTGGTTGGTGTGGGGGGGGGGAAGCGGCGGTAGATGGAATGCTTTCTGGAAGCCGGGCGGAATAGGGCCATCCA